ACTGAGAAAAATGGTGACGTGTTCAATACTTATTTTACCCGCTGTAATTTGCAGGTTACTTCCTCAGTTTGCCTAAAAGGAAACAAATTATTTTTCAGAAGAAAAACAGTTTGTGCTGCTGAGACAAATAAAGTTCAGTTTAGTTTTATTCAAGCTGTTTTGATCAGTCCTGGGTCCAGTCTGTGACATTTAGTAGCTGAAATTCAACAAAAGTCATTTTAACCTAATACTTAGGAGGAAATTTGGATTAAAGTGAGCTAAAACGACTCACTGTTGACTTGGCCCAATTTAGACCCAGTTCTGGGTCACAAATTGGGTTTTAACCCAGAAGCAATCGACTCCCTTCTGTCTTATCTCCGAAAAAATCCTGCCTCGTCATGCTTTAAAAGTAAAAAAAATAAACAAAAGAAATGTTTAAATCATTTCAGTTTCCATTATTTTCAATTGATCTTTTTTCACTAGATGCAGCTAAAATGTGTGATTGAAGAGTTTAAACGTCTTCACGCTTTTTTTATGTCTTATCTCTGTTTTGACCCAACAGATCCTAAACCTAAACACCAAAGAGCCGCAGAAAAGTACGTTTTCTTTTTATTTTTTTAAAAAAGGGAGATTATAACAAAAAAAGACATTAAAGAAAAATACAAAGTCAGTTTTTTTCATGTGAAAAGCAGCAACAGAAACACATTTGATGAGATCTTTGATGTCTGCTCCAGGTTAAACCTTGATGATGGATCCTTTTGTTGCTGATGTCTCTGTGTAAGAAGGCAAATGCAAATGTGGGGGAGAAAAGGCTTCTTTCATTCGGCTGTAACAAAAAAAAAAACGAACATCTTTGCAGTTGTGAAAACCTGGCATCGTTTTCTGTGGCTGTGTTTGTGTTCTCTGATAAGAGAACTGAGATGCTTCACATTTACAGAAGATATCTCCTCTCAGAGAAATGAATCAGGCGGCCCTGAAGCTGCCTCATTTCACAGCTCTTTCCCCCCATTCAAACCGCCGCGCAGGTTTCTGATTAAAAGCTCGGAGGAAAAGTTCTATCTGTTTGAAATCCCTAAAATGCCTGACAGAAGTGCCCCCCCC